TAGATAATTTTCTAAATTTATTTATATATTAAATAAATGATAAATAGGTATGTTTTGTTATATGTGTATATTTTATGGATAATTTTTTTAATATACATTTTTGTACACGACAAATTTGATTATAAATTGAAATGCTGTATATTTTATTTCATTAATATTGCATTTACATGTATTAATATTATAGTATCATAATTAACAAGTCTGGTACATTATTAAATATTTAAATATTTAAATAATTTTTATTTTATATTACATTTTAATAAAAAAAATAATTTAAATTATACTATTATATATTAATAATTTTTTATTAAGAAATATAGTACATATAGTATAATATTAATTAAATGGTTTGAACCAGTTGAATTAGACAGTTACTCGCCATATTTTATTATCACGGCTAATTGGATGACGCACCAAATTAAGTAGCCAATGATGAAAACCGTGAACACCGTTGAAATAATGAAGAACAGATAAGAGACCAAAGCATTTAATCTTGCTTGAACATCCTTGGATTTTTTATATTTACAATAATCGACGAGCCATAAACAGCAAAGTAAAAATCCAATACAAATAAGATAGCAAACATCATCGAGTCGTTTTGATTTGCCAGATTCACTTTTTGTTCTGGTTGATTGGTGGCTAGAATATTTCAGATTGGGAAATGGGCTGTATCGGTTAAATTGGAACTTGTTGGTACTATGAGGACGTTTGAATTATTGGTTGGACGTATTGGACGTATTGTGGTTGTTGTTAATAAGTCATATCCGACTGTTTTAAAAAATATCTATGTACAGTATGGTCATTAAACCTTATGTGAAACCTTGAGGTTAATGCGATTTTTTAGTATAATTTTTAGTATTATTATGAAATATGAAAAACTATACAAAAATAAATCAAATCATAAGTTATTTTAGTTATTTCAATATACAGTGGCAATATTTAAGTACTTAATTTGGAATAAACCCACTTAAATGAGTAAAATTATGTTTTATTTTTGGAAATAACAAAAATATAAAAAAACTGAAATTGTGTTATAAGACAATAACATTTTAATAATAACAAATTATTTTTTATTAAAAAAATAAAAAAAACAAAAAAATAATTAATTAAAATTTATTTCATGACATTTGCAAAACTTGGGCTATATGTTGATTTGTTTTGATGAAGACTTTATGATTTTTAAGTCCTTTTCAAGTTTAAACACTGTTTTTCAACGCTTTAAATGGAAAACTTGTCGAATCCAGAATCCATTTGGTATTTGATTAAAAAGTGTACGATTTTTACATTTTTGTGTAAAAACCACATTTTACGATTTACACAAAATGTAATTTATTTTTTGATCCAAATGTTTCTTTAAAACAGTTTTCAACAAAAGCTCAAAAGTTTAATTTAAAAATACCGACTTTGAAGTTTATAAATTAAAAAATAATAAATTCAATCTCAATCCAAAAAACTCAATTCTACGTATTATCCCGTTTTTTTCACTAATTGTTCCTTAAATGTTATTTATTTGTTATTGTTTGAATTCTCGTCTATTTCAATTCATTTGTTTATGTTTTTTATCTTTCTATCATCTTCTTTTGAATTTTAACAACAACTGTTATGAAATATTTTTTTAATGTTATTTGTTCAAAAACAATCATTGAAATAATGTGCATAAAAACCACAAATTCAATCGGACTTTTATTTTCAAGCTTGTCTATTGTGCTCTTACTTGTTCTTTTTTCACTTTTTGAACCTTTTTGAGCTTCTTTTTGTCAAAAGAAAATACTTTTCAAAACGAATTTTGTAAAAATAAAGCTATATTTTAAGTTTATTTTAATTAAAATAAAAAACAATTTCAATTATTTTTTTTCTTTTCAAGCAAATTTGATTTTTTTCTCGAAAAACAAAAAAGACCCAATCAAACCCATTTTCCTATTTATAAACGGTGGTACTTAAGTTTTTTCTTTTTTGGCTTAAAGTTCAACCACTGTTTCACAAAATTTACTCACTTAATTGGGTTTATACCACCACTGTATATATTAATTAAACAATCATTTTTATATAGAAATAACACCAACATCAATTTAGGCAATCCAGAACAAAGTGTGTACTGATCAATGTGAACATTATTAAGATTTTTTATCTTAAACCCGATTTGTGGCCATTTGTCTTTTTAATTGTTTAAACAATCAGGAAATGAATAAAAAATCCTGACCGTTATGTGAAATAAATTTTAAACTATTTTCAATTGAAAAACGAGTAAAAAGACACTTAACAAATATTTTCTTTGTGTCTGCAACCATTTTGTCGATCTATTCCTATTCTATTTTGTGATCTAATCACAAACGACAAGAGAGTCTTCCCTTGTCGTTTGTGATTATGATCTTGTTCTTTTTTCCTGCTGTCTTGTCCTCAGCTGAAACATTCAAAATCCCAATTGCATCGATGTCAAATGTGACTTCTACTTGTGGAACTACACGTGGTGCGGATGGGAGGCCACTCAATTCAAACTTGCCAAGCAAATTGCAGTGTGGTGCCATAGACGCATCACCCTCAAATACTGGGACGAGCACGTCTGGCTTATTGTTTGCGTATGTCGAGAAGATCTACGACTTCTTTGCTGGATTTGTTGAGTTTCGTGGATCAGTGTTGTCATCACACCACCAGCTGTCTCTGTCCCACGTGTTATAGACAAAACATCAAGCAACTCATCTTTTGTTGCTTTTCCACTATTTACTTAACTCGATTTTTGTATAGAGAGTGTGATTATTTAGTTTATGTTAGTTCAACTCCATGTGTTGATTTTCATTTTGTTAAATTGTCTTCTTATATTTTCCAAAACAATCTTTTTTATTTTTGTAATCACATAAGGCTTACAGTTCAATTTCTTTGTTTTTTTGTATATGACCTTGTTTTTT